ACTGGGGATAGGTGGGAACCAGCAATATGTTGTTACAGAATTTATATATAAGAAAAAGGTGACACTAAGTTGTGTTAAAACAACAATAGCAATGAGCAGAGGTTTTATTTATTGATTTTAAAAATGCACACATCAGAAAGTATCATAGATATCTTTTTTTTGGAGGAAAGTGAATGAGGAAATAATTTTAAGTGTACAAATCACCTTCAATACTGTTTCATCTGTTCATTGTCTAACTAAACAGTACCATACTGAAATTTGGTCTAGTTGCTTCATCAGTAGTTCTACTAGTCTCTGCTGTAGCTCTCTGCAATATTTCAAATATTGCTGTGATAAAATCTTAGTTTCTACAATCAGTAACCTGAAAATAGGAAAAAAAAAGAATGTTCTTATATCTTGAATAACAGAAGTGAACATGTCATTTTAGACGGTACTGTAGAACAACAGATTATGTAGTAAGGATCTTCTTTGGCTAGTCAGAGTAGTAGACCTTCAGCAGGTCGATCAGCATAACTAGGAAGGGTATTTTGCTATTTGAAGCTTTAGTCAAGTTTTTCACTACGTTTTGTGTATTACAGAACGTCCTCATCGTGAGACATACAGTCCAAGGCTCCTTGCTGCTTCGGAAATTCTCGGTCCTTTTTTATTTGGGAAAGGGTAAAAGTTCACTTTTTTGCAGGCCGGCGTGCATTTTTTAGAAGAAATTTGTTGATGTGTCCAAACTGATGAAGTGGCTGATTTCAGAGGAGGCTTTTGGCAGGTGCTGGAAATGTTGCTGCGATTCTCTTCACTGAAACTGCTCAACGTGCTTGAACTTCCAAGTTGACTGAGGGCAGATAGTTCGCTTACTCCGTCTGACTCCTCATGTTGCAGTGTTCCCTTTCCCTTGGAAATCAGTCTCTCATCGTCGTAACCACATGGTCCATTCTTGCACCTGGTAACTCCTTCACAAGAAGCTTGCCCCAGGCGGTGAATTCCCAGGTGGGTTCGCCACAGGGAGTTGTCTTGTACGTTGCCACTGCTGGTCACCTCCAGTCTGACCTTTCTGACGGGAGCACATTCGGTAAATGACTTTGATCTCCTAACTGTTTTATTAACTGAAACAGCATTGACCATCGATTCCTGGAGAACGGATTCATGTTCACCTACAAGAGAAATGCATATGTGGACGTTACTACGGTGGCAAATATTAATTTCTGTGGCATAAACTCGACTGAAGAGCTTTAAATGATGAGTTCAGCTGAACTCTTTCTCTCTGTGGTTGACGGTAGTGCAAGTTCTTCTTGTGCCAGATTATCAAGCAGAAATTTTTCGTGCTCGGTTTTGCGGTTCTGAGGCTATAAATGGTACCCTAGGGTTAGTCAAATGAAAATGGAGATTTATCAAGTCAATATTGATCTAACCAGTACTCTAAGACTCATTAACAGCACAGATTGAGAATTGACTTTCAGTAATTACCTGCTTTTAAGCAAAAATTCTTAAGGTGAACAGGGATTTGCTCCATGTGTTGGTAGGTGCTGTGATTTGAAAGAAAAAAACGTTCTGTTTGATACTGCTGGAAGTTTGCATTCACAACTTAAAACTGCCATGATTGCTTCCAGATGAAGCAAGTTGTGAAATTCTTTCTTCTTTTCCTTAATGAAGAATCATTAACATGTAGTATTGTATTAATATTTTACTGCAATTTGACTACTGTAGCCTGTATAAATGATGTAAAGTCAATGGGTTATCACCCTAGTGTTGCCTGAAGGACTGCTTAGAGGAAGAATCTGCTTGCTTTGTGAGTGGTGTAGAGCAGCTGTAACAGTGGGAGAGAATCTAGTCTCTTCTTTTTTTTCTTCTATCCCTATAGCTTAATTGCTAAGGTTCCATGAAATTTACTGTTAGAAATGTATAAGATATTAGGGCTAGAAATGCTAATGCTACTTTAATTGCATGTAGCAGCAATCCAATTACTGAACACGACCGGCTTTCTATGCCTTGAAAATGCATAGAGAGTGAACAACTACACTAAAGATAAACAGTGCTGTTGACAGTGCAAGTACTAATGAAATATACTTGAGTTAGTATAAATAAAGTAGGTGTTGTGTAGAATGCTGGCCTTATTTACAGGGTTGACTTACAGGAACTGTGTCTGCAGTGTGACTTAGGAAGCATATTAAAGTGCGAAAAGTAGACATAGAAGGGTGCTGATTATATTCTGTGTTGGTAGTAAGGGTCTGGCGGCTGGAAGATATGGCGCTGTACGAAAAGATAGGGACCCTCTCCCGATAGCCAATAGCATTTAGCTTCTGATGTAAGCAGACGGAAGTGGCGTCGTAAATTCGGGTTATATAGCGCCGTGTTACGCACCAATGAACGCCATTTGCCATCCACCACATTGGTGTCAGTGAGCTGATGGCCCGAGCGGCCCGGAGTTGGTTGCCGTGTCGTTCCTGAACCAGGTCGCCACGCCTCGAAAGGCAACAAGTGGTGCCGAAACCCGGGAGGGTTGTCTGGATTTGGCTGACCGGCGGCCAGAGCGGCAAAGCCAGCCCGGCGGGGGAAGTCAGAGAAAGACGCTCCAGACCAGGACCCCCAGGGAAGATTGAAGCCCGTGTGAAGGTCATATCCCCAGGACCAACGAGCAGGATTGGAGCCCGTGTGAAGGTCGCATCCAGGACCAACGAGGACAATGGAAGCTCTCGTGAAGGTCGTATCCCAATTACATAAGCAGTGGGGGATTGATTGTTAAGCCCCAAGATTTTACTCTCGCAGTTGCAAGGCTTTTGAGGCTTGGGATCATTGACCAGCACCGTGTGAAGGTCATATCCCCAGGACCAACGAGCAGGATTGGAGCCCGTGTGAAGGTCGCATCCAGGACCAACGAGGACAATGGAAGCTCTCGTGAAGGTCGTATCCCAATTACATAAGCAGTGGGGGATTGATTGTTAAGCCCCAAGATTTTACTCTCGCAGTTGCAAGGCTTTTGAGGCTTGGGATCATTGACCAGCCGGTGGATATTCTCCACCCCGAGGTATGGGATAAATGTACTGAAGTATTAGCTGAGGAGACAATGTCCTCAGGGAGTGGTAAACATCTTAAGTCGTGAGGGAAAGTCGTGCAGGCCTTGCAGAAGGCCATACAAGAGCAGGACACCTGGAGGGCAGCAAAAGTGTGTTTGTTAGCTACCCCGCAGCTGGCAGTCGGGGCAGCGACGCAAACTCCGCGCCCTCCAGACGATGATAATTCTGCCGAGCATAAAGACCCGCCCCCTAAGATGGCGCCGAGCAGAAAGCGGAAGGGCGGGGCGAGGATGTCCCCGGCGGGAACAGAAAGGAAGCGCTAGAACTAACAAGCGCACGTAAACGGGAGGGGGAGGAGAATGAAAAGGAGAAAGATATAGGAGCGAACCAAAAGGGAGGGTGCGGCCCGCCCGCAAAGCAGCTGGGCGGGGCCGGAGTCCATCAAAAAGGTACTGGAACCCGGAAGTAACCAGTCAGTCGAGTTTTTATCCACAGGATCGGATGATCGGACACCCTCGTAACCCGTACGCCCCAGTGACAAGAGAATACGACAAGTCAGCAAGCATCCTACCCGCACCCGGGAGTCCCGCAACAACGGGAGATAGCCCCCCCGCCAGGGGCTGCGATGTGTTTGTGGGATTTTAATTCTGGGGTTTGTAATGCCATCTAGTGGCTGGGATGAACATCAACCATGGGAACGGGGGTTGGTAAGAGAGGCGGAGCAGAAAGTATTACAAAAATCGTTACCCCGGGCCCCCCTAGCTTTCAAGTAAATATTTGTGATCTAGTCCCAGTTAAACCCCTGTTATCATGACGCAAGTTATTATATATGCCCTAACTCTAACCCTAGCTAGAATTGAACAATCAATAAGTGCATTAGAACAATCAATTAGATCATTATCTGAAGTAGTGTTGCAAAATTGAAGAGGATTAGACTTGATGTTCTTACAGCAAGAGGGAGTGCCTGCTGCCCTAAGGGAAGAGTGTTGTATATATGCGGACCACACTGGAATAGTGAGGGACACTATGGCCAAATTGTGAGAGGGATTGGAAAAATGGAAAAGAGACAGAGAGGCCCAACAAGGATGGTTCGAGTCATGGTTTAACCTTGATAGGGCCAATCGCAATGATTGTAATAGCATTGATCTTTGGACCCTGTATATTGAATAGGCTCGTGTCGTTTGTTAAGAGCCGGATAGAGGCAGTTAACATCATGTTGGTGGAGCGCCAACAATTGCTTTAAGAATGTTTTTGTTCAGAATCTCCTTTAGTTACCCCCAGTTATACCCTGTGACTCCCAGTTACCCCCCCCAGCTACCTCTTGTTCAGCGTGCCTTATGTTTTCTATTCAAATCTGCAATATATATTTTAAGGTTGTTATACAGCATAGAATAGAAACGAAATGCATTTAGTATGTTTTTATCCAAAGTTACGATGTACGTATTCTTTAGAATTGTTGTATTTTAGCCAATTTAATTATGCATGGGGGGGGGGAAAATGTTGGTAGTAAGGGTCTGGCGGCCGGAAGATATGGCGCTGTACGGAAAGATAGGGACCCTCTCCTGATAGCCAATAGTGTTTAGCTTCTGATGTAAGCAGAGGGAAGTGGTGTCGTAAATTTGGGTTATATAGTGCCATGTTATGCACCAATAAACACCATTTGCCATCCACCACATTGGTGTCTGTGAGCTGATGGCCTGAGCGGCCTGGGGTTGGTCACCGTGCCATTGCCTGAACCAGGTCGCCACGCCTCGAAAGGCAACAATTCTGAACCAGAATATTTAGACAGACATTTAAAAAGAGTCGGAACCCTGAATTTGAAATGAAGCTGGTCTGAATTGGATGCTGCCTTTAAAAAAAGCAACAGCACAACACCCGGTTTATACTTGTCTCTCTACCATCTTTACAAGGCAATACATGAGGATGTCAGACCCAGCTGTCTTACTGGCAGTAAATGGATCTGTACAACTGGGCTTCAGCTGAGGAAGGGCCTTCACTGCCTTCGTCTCCCACTACTGAAGCAACTCACCAGCATAATACCGCAGGGTTTTTTCATCTCCCTGGGTTGGCCACGTAGGGTTGATCTGGTAAGAGCTGCTTTGCAGCATGGCTCTGGGAGTGAGAACTGTGTCAGCCCCCATATTCTGCTCTCTTGCAGCGTTACCAGGGGAAAGGAGATTAAAGCACAGGCAGAGCTTAGAGCTACCAATGTGTTTATGCATATATCTGTACAGAGAAGTATCCTAACAGAATTTCCCAGGGTGAACCATTCACAGAGATAAGAACGCACACTTCTCTGTCATTTAACAGTGAGAATAAAGAGTTATATCTGGACTGTCAGGAAATAAAGCTGAGCTTGGGTGGCTACAAAAAGACCTCCTGCGAAATAGAGCCCTGTATGTTCTGCGGAACACAGTTACAGCATCAGGCTACAAAAATTAGGGCTTATTCTCCATAAATGAGAGAAAAAGCAGGAAAGAAGGAACTGAGAGGCTGAGGTGATGCAGCTTTGCACATTTTTGCGGATGTAACTGCACTCTTGTCTGAACTGGCATTGATAGCCAACTTTGGGTTTTATCTTGAACCTTATGAACTGGTCATCAGGGGAATTACAGTGAGGCTTGAACTGATCAAACTAATGCATCTAGTCTAAAACTGGTTTTAAGTCCAGGTTTGATTTGATTCCTTGGCTACAGGTGTAGCACACAAAACTGAGCAATGACCTTGGATAAAAATGTGAGAGTCCTGAACCACCGTGTGTGTTAACATACATTCAGCACTCTAAAGTTCTAAGAAAGCTTTAGTTAGACAGATCTTTGGTTGATTTGTTTTTTAAAATTTTTTTAATGAATTGTTCATCATAGCTGTATTGCAGGGTTGTTTACCATCTGGCCTTTTTCATATGCTCTCATCATAGACACTTTGAGGTTCTGGAGTGACAAAAGTTAATTTTATTTCGAGTCAGCTTGGCAGATACTTGGAAGAGACTCTGCAGTCAGCCCCTGTGTTTATTCTGGTGCGACTGCTTGCGCTGAATGCTCCCATTTAATTCCTAAAGTAAATACTGGTTTTCAGCTTCTTAGCCAATAAATAACGAATACACTGCGGTGTTATCCCGTAGCTGGCGACTTTCAAATCTTGTCATACTCTTTGTTCTCGGGTACAGCCAGAAGCGTGAATGTGGCTGTGTGTGTTGGAAGGAATAGAACAAAGCTCTTTTCAGGTGGCTTCTCAGTTCCTAATCTGCCAGTCAAAAACCTACAGAAGTTAAAGAATTTTAAGTTCTTGCATTGGGTTTGCCTGTCTGGATTTTGGTGGCAAGGGGCCTGTAGGGGTAGCTTCTACAAGAAGCAGCTAGAAGTTTCCCTGAAGTCTGATAGAGCCAGTGCCAGCCGGCTCCAAAGACGGACCTGCTGCTGGCCAAGGCCGAGCCTGTCAGTAATGATAGGATAGGAACACCTCTGTGAAACCATACTTAAAAAAATGAGGGAAAAAAAAGAACTGTGCCACACAACAACTGGCAGAGAGAGGAGTGAGGCTGTGTCAAGACATCAAGGGCAGTGAAGAAGCGGGGAGAGGATGCGCTCCATGTGCTGGAGCAGAGAGTCCCCCGGGTGTTGCCGATGACCATGGTGAAGCAGGCTGCCCCCCTGCAGCCCACGGGTGTGACGGGGTGTAGGTGTCCACCTGTGGTCTGTGGAGGACTCCACACCAGAGTGGGTGGATGCCTGAAGGGGGATACTGCAGTGTTCATTTCTGCTTGACATATTCTTGGAAACGGATGGATATAACAGGTTCAAAGTGCTGAGCTATGTAATGGGTTTTCCCAGGTTCTAAACCACAGGAATGCATAAAATCACCTTTCGGAACATTGAGAAAGCACAAAAAAAATACCCCAAACTTCATCTGCTTTTAGGAATAGCATGAATCCTTTGCACACAGGTTGTTTAAAGACAGAAGGTCAGTGCAGTAGGTTTTGTGAATATTTTGGGTTATGTATATGAATATTTGTCTGTGAACTTCCAGTCCTACTAAATGGTAAACTTTGATGAATCTGTGCAGTGCTATTTTCTTATGTCTTTTCTTTAATCTTCAGATGGTGTCCTCGTAAAAAAATCTGCTCTGATTACATTGATTATATCTGAAGCTTCATTTAAATTTAATCTGAATACAGACTTCTGCTTCCTTTCTTTAACTAACTTAGGTTTTTGCTACAGCTGATTGGAAGGGCTATTTTGTCTTCAAGTTAGTTGCCTTTTCATACCTGATTAAATAAGCTTGTAGGTATATATATATCTTAAATTCATTCTCTTCTTCACAGAGATTTCTGAATACAGACTTCTGCTTCCTTTCTTTAACTAACTTAGGTTTTTGCTACAGCTGATTGGAAGGGCTATTTTGTCTTCGAGTTAGTTGCCTTTTCATACCTGATTAAATAAGCTTGTAGGTATATATATATTAAATTCATTCTCTTCTTGACAGAGATTTAAATTCTTTTAATGCAATAATTTCTAGACAGTTGAATAAAAGAATATTAATGATGTCAATCTGTTGTATAATTCATAATTACGTGTTTTTTTCAGTTGTTTTGATGATACAGTCTGACACAGCCAAATCTAAAACTGCTGAAAAATGTAGAGGAAAATGCAGAGGATGAAATAGCCTAAGTTATGCATTTGTTGAGCTAAATACTACTATGAGAGGTGAATGAAACATGGTTTTCCTATTGCAGTTAAACTCAGAACACAAGTTAATGAATTGACTCAGTATTCTCAGTATCGCTTTAACTTGGAAAGTAAATGAAAATATGTTAGTGTAATATTGTAAGCAGTAGTCTAATTAAAAACTTTAACACATTTGAAAGTATCTTGTATAAAAACTGTCTGACATAGCAGGTACAAGTGATACACATTATTACTTGTTCTGTACTTTCTAATCAATATGCAGTGAAAATACTTTCAAAACAGGATGTGTGGTTCAAAGCTTGTATCTTAGTTACCTGCTATGACTCTCAGTCTAAGTTATTTTTCCTAAAAACCCCAACTTGTACTAGTCACTTAGCACTTGCTATTGCTTCCTGTAGTCTTGTAGGACACATTTCTTTACACGGATAAAGAAAGGAAGAAGAGACAGGAGACCCAGAGTAGCTTGTTCTGATGGAAGCATTCAAGAGAGCCGAAATGTTACAGAATACACGAATACATGATGACAGGCATGAAGGACGTGGCTCCTGTAAGAGTTACCATTTCTGTTTGGAATTTTACTTTACTGACATAAAACCTGTAAAACCTTACCTCAAATATA